AGAGAGAGAGAGAGACAAAAGAAAAAAAAGGAACGGCGAACTCGGAATGGGATGGACCTTTTTTTTTTCGACCGTCTCAATTTTCCTTCGAAATCGATCGTATCTTTTCCGTAGCGCGGGCTGCGGAAACTGCGCATTTTTCGATTTTTCGGCGTGCCCGCGGCACATCCGGTCGACGCGTGGCGCGTCATATCGGATCAACGCGGCCACGCCGTTGCAGTCCGTAGCATAAGCCGTTCGTCGACCCGGACGCGTTCACGCTCGAAAATTTCCACATTTATGCGAATGGAAAACGTCTGTTTGCAGAGGCCGAGAGCGGCGGCCGGCTCGTTAGCGCTTTCGCGCGACTCGCCGCCTCTCCTTCGGTCGTTCGCGCGGATCGTTTTTCGATCCGTTTTTACCGCGGCGCGTCCACGCTTATCGCCGCGCCGGCGGATCGACGGCGCGCATACCCACGCATACGAGCGGGCAACGGAGGAGCGAGAATCGCTCGGAAGCGAGACGGAGAAGCATTGCCGAGAAAAATAAGGAAAAATAGTAAGCATCGACGTCAATGGATGTAATTACCGACGATGGGAGGGGAGGGGGGGAGGGAGGGGGGAAATGCCTGTTCCACCGCTTGTTCCACACAACCCATGTGATATCGCGGGTGCGTCGCATCTGCGCGCCCCGGATATCGGTGAGCCCCTCGTATCGAAAGCGACAGCGATTGGAATTGACACCGGCCTTATCAATTATGTACGTCCATCCGTGTATTTATGTATTACCTATAAATAATATTGTAAATCAAAGTTGCCGTTGCCGACCATGCCATGTCTGACGCGTCTACACTCCCAATCGAGCGACCGTTATTATTATTATTATTATTATTATCATCTTTATGGTCCCGTGGATTTGCTCGATTGGCTACAGGGCGGCAAAGCGTGAACGTAGACGTAACGATGAGCCTCGAGGTCCCGGAACCTGTTTCGATCTATCGGACTTTATTTTTAAACATCTTCAATGCAAGCGAATCACGGGGTCTCATTAAATTGCTAATCGTGCGCGAAGATGTTTAACGCGTATAAGAATAACGATAGACGTACTCGGAATCGATGTATTGACGACTTGGGCGATCGTCGCGAGGAGAAAACTTGGAAATATAAAAATAATATATAATGCAAGAATTTCGATTATTTTGATCCGGAGGCCATCGAGTCCCATCTCTCTCTAAGGCGGAAACACCGATATCCGTGAGAGGAAGCACCTTATCGCGCCAGTTTTCCGTCACGTTTGGATTAGATAAAGCGAGAGGAAGGAAAGAAGGCAGGAAAAAAGATAAATTCGCCGTGCACATCGCGATGCGATAGGGAGCAAATGATTGAAACGGCAGAAATTATTGCGTGCTTTACGGTTGGCCGCCGCCCACGTAACTTCCGGCGACAGAGATCGCAAATTACGAGTTTCCTCCGCGCCTCGCGGCCTGAGATTTCGGCGAGGACGAAAAGATACTTACACCGATAATCTATGGGGGCCATTAGGTCAGCAACATAGAATCATAATTGTTATCGCGGTTAATTATGATAATACGAAGCAGTCGTCATCGTTGTCAGCGTTCGCGACCGATGGACGGCCGTAACAAAACCAGTTCCGGTCGATTTTCTTCTTCTGAACCTTTTTTTTTTCAGTATCATACGTCAACTCCGTCGAGTTTTGATTTAAAAACGCGGGAGAGAATCTTGCTCCTCTCCAAGATCATTATCCTGATCATCTTGACCGCGTACTACTGAACCACTCATCTCTGCGTCATCTTCGCGAGATCCGGATTCATCGGAATCGACTTTTCCCACGTGACATCATATCACTCACGAACGCTGAAATTTAATAAACAGAATTGAGAATGCATCTCCATGAAAAATATTTAGGATACGTCTCGACGGAAGGCAGTGCGATTATTTACCACTCCGATATAGCGAGTTCATCACTGTCATCCGCATTTTTTCTTTTTATTTTTTTTTTTTATTTCGTAATACTGATCGGCGAATGTTCTTGCGACGCGAGGCACGTTTGCCGGTACAACATGGTGCTTCCAACGCCGATATCGTTATTATCATTGTCGATTGCACGCGTGGGCGTGTACTCGTCCAAGGCGATCCTCGACGCGAAATCGCGCTCGATTAATGTTAAGATGGAGCGATCTCGTTAAAGATGCTTTCTTAAATCTTCTTGGACCAAAACGAATCGAGTTGAAAAATGATCGGCCCACGTAGAAATTCCAGATGTCTGTCTTAGACCGGCCCAACATTGACTCAATAATAACAGTCAAGCATCAGCAGACGTCCCATTATTAAGAATAGAATTTCCATTGTCTCGTTTTAAAGTGTACCAATAATGATAAGAACATTTTTACAGGTAAATTTAAAAATTTAAACTAGATATAAATTTAAAAATAATTTTTTTTCAGTTTTCAAAATTATTAAATACGACGTTCAAATTAGTAAAATATACTAAAAGATAAAAAATTTTTGTAGCTTATTATTATGTTTTAATATCCTATATAATTTTGATGCGATAAAATGATTTTCAGCTCTATATCCGATCGAATTTTTAGATTTACCAACAAAATTAGTGTCTCTTCGTGTATTAATTGCTATTGGTACAGAATAATGTTAGAACTTAGGCATAATGAAAAAGTTAAAAAATCAAACTTAGAGACTTACACTTTTGCTGGAAAATCTAAAAATTTGATCAGATACAGATCTGAAAATAACTTTGTTGGCTCATCAAAATTATTTTGTAGAACACTTAAATATGATGGATAATACTGCAAAAATGTTTAATCTTCTAACAATCAATTTGAACACCGTATATAATAATTTTGAAGGCCCAACAAAATCGTTTTCAAATTTGCTATCTAGCCAAATTTTTAGATTTGCCAGCAGAAGTATTCTTTCCGTGTAGAAATTTAAATTTCGATATGTAGGAAACCATGCTTCAAGGAATACCAAGATAATCTTTCATTGATCAAAAATCTTTTAATGCAAAAATCTTTTCTTGTTCCTAATACTTTATACTTATACTATATACTCAATATTTTATTTCTATTTATTCTATTTGAACCTTTACACTTCCGTATTTGACTTGGATTAATTTAATGCTGATAGCCAATATTGACATAGCTGAAGGGATCATTTGGGATCGTTCTTAAATTTCTACGTGAGCGATTTTGATGTCGGGAAACGATTGCCATCGTTTTACTTCGAAATCCCGTTTAGCTTTTGTAATTTCACGCAATAATCATTACGAACGGTGAATACATGTCCTACCGTGTTGGTTTATACATTGTTCTTCAAGCTCGAAGTAGACCTTCGAGTCAGAAAGAAAGGAAGATTTGTGTTTTTCTTATTCATACACCTTTCTGACAATAAAATTTCTTGAAAAATATCTCTTCACGCGATGTGGCTGCATTTTATGAGACGCGATTCCGACGTAACGCTCGATAGATCATCACTCTAAAGGATGATGACTTTCATGGCAATTTCATTCCGTGAATCGTGCACACGTCGTAATGACACACCATTCAAAAGATTCTCCCGAATGATCGCGTAATCGATACGCAATTTCCTTAATCGAGGCCGTGTCCTATGTGTTTATAATTTGCTTCCGATAAATCAGCGAGTCATACATAACGGAAACTACAGCTGACGTAATTAATGTTTCAATGAGATACTTGTAATGTACTTTTAATAGCGATGTTATACTACTTAGAATATTTCAAAAATGGCCCTTTTTTCCTTATTTTAGAGCGTGGCTTACTGATGAATGATTTCTTGTACATATACAGAGAGAATAGTTTTGCTAGCAAATCTAAAAGTTTTGGCCAGATACAGATCTGAAAATAATTTTATTAAAGCATCAAAATTAGTATATAGAACGCTTAAACATGAATAATATAATATTGCAAAAATTTTTTATTGCTTAACAATTTGAACGTCGTATATAATTATTAATTGTTAAATAACGGAAAAAAATTCTGATAAAAAATTGACAAATCAAAAATTGTCAGGTTCCTATTTAAATAAATTAGAAGTTTGTCGAATTAGTGAGAAGTTTTGTTACTTTAAATTGAATTCTGATAACTTCAACTGGAATTTTTGGTTTTTTTGGTATTTTAAAACAGAATTTTGATACAGCCAGACTATTTTTCACATATAGTAATAAATTTTTAGATTTATTAATAAAACTCTTATTTCCATCACGAAAAAAGTAATCATTTTAGTTTGAATTAATGAGAAAGATTTAATTAAGCAAGTTTTGATGGCACTGAATTAAACAGAATTTATGATAATTATATAACCAAATATTCTGGTATGCATTTAGATGTGATATGGAGAAAAATTTGATGTGTAGTAATAACATTCAAGGCTACATTCCAAAATTCTACTCGATGGGTAGAGTAGCATTTAATTGATTAATCAGAAAAAGGACAAAAATTTCTTGATTTGGATTAGTCAATTAAATGCTATTCTACCATCAAATAGAATTTTGGAATCTAGTTCAAATGTCTGGTTACTAGGACTACAAGAGGAAAAGAATAAGCATGACATGGTTAAAAGAATGTTAAGGTAGAACTAAACAGATTTTCTACACGGAAAGAACAGTTTTGTTGAATATAGATATAAAAAAAAATTTGGTTAGATTATTAATATAATTATGTACAATAGAATTCCGAGGAATTTTAAAATTTGGCCAAATATATACAGATCCGAAAATAATTTTATTGGACAATCAAAATAAGTTTAAGCACGATGATAATGTATAAAAATGCAAAAAATTTACTAAATATAAATTTGAAAATAATTTTGTTTTATAGAAAATAATTTTGTTTCTTCAAAATTATTAGGTCCAAATTGGTTGCTAAAAAATTTTTGCAGTATTATTATTATTATTATGCGGTATTATTATTTAAGCTATAAAATGATGGTCCAACAAAATTATTTTCAGATCTGACCAAAGATTTACCAACAAAACTGTTCTTTTCTATTGTAATCAAGCGTTTTAACGCAGCTCAAGGAGAAATGTAGATCCTGGTTATTCCGCGTGGAGAAACACAGATATTCCTACGCAAATTCGGATGGTTTCTCAACCGCGTTACAGCACGTTCGTTTCGGTGACATTCTTCGCGAAGAACGTGAGGGTACGCGGGAGATCGTGGACACCACAATCCGCATATTATCATACTCGTATTTCGCGGTCGATCACCTCTGTCTGTCACCCGAATAAAAGGGAAGCGATCGTCACGTGTTTGCGACGCCGGGAATAAGAATTAACTGGATCTCTCTATTTTTTTTCTCTTCCTATTCTTTTTCTTCCAACGGATGAACGACAACGACGACGTCACCCGGAGAAACTCGTGGACTCTCTTGGGAAAGCTGGCGCTTTTCTGATTCTTCCAAAACTTCACGAGGCGATCGTAAAAACACAATCGGGCACAACGGGCGTCGACTTTCTTCCTGATAATGCGACTTACGTCAACGAGCGGCACCGATGACCGGGATCGCGCGAAGAGATAGCAGCCATCGATCAACCGTCTAGAGTGACTTTGACTAGACTCACAAGGAGATGACAAGAATTGCAAAATACAAAATTGAATGAGCTGTTTTTATTTCAATTTTCACCTACAACATTGTGTGCAATATCCGAATTTTATAATAAATAAAAAGAAATAAATAAATTAATATATGTATAAAAATTGTTGTTATTTTTTAATACATATAATAATAATGTATAAATTAATATTTTATTACAAATAATAACAAAAATTAATTTTGTCGACAAAATATAGTCGTTATTAAAAAAAAAAGAAAGTTGTCACTGCGAGGTCTCGAACTCTCCTCGTCACAGAAAAAAAGGATTACACTCGCGAGTCTTGGATTGTGTAGCCATTGCAGCACCCCGCAATTTGTGCAGCTATTTATAATATTTATCTTACAGCTAGCCGAACGCCTAATTTTATATATAAATTTCTCTGAAACTAAGACCCATGCACTCAAATCCTTTTACACTTTTTATACTCTCAACCTCCTCTTTCAAATGAACTATAGCTCATTCAATTTTATATTTCGCAATTCTTGCCAGATTCTCCTTGTCAGATTAGCTTATCGAGGAAATATCTGTACTATTTTAGTAACGGGAATGCGGCATTATCTTCAAATGGAATTTCCTGCGAAATACGAAAACAATGATTAAAATGAGAAACGACACATATAATTCGTTCTACAATCGCTCAAATCGTGAATTGAGTCAAACGAAGGTCGCAGGTGATCTTTGGAGGCTGTTGAATAGTCGCGACGAGATTCGAGTGATGTGGACAAACAGATTCGGAGATCGCTCTCGGAAAACAGAAATGGTGATCCTCTTGAAAAAAATGTGGGACGCCGACCCCAAAATCGCTTCACGCTTCACCGTGACACGCCTCGCGCATCCGACATATCCGGAGAATGAGCCCGGTTTCTCGATGGTGAAGATCTATTCTGATTCACTTCGCAACCGGAAGTGAATCAGTCGTGCGCGATTCCTCGCGGATTCCAAAAAGCTTGCGCGAAACAGAGCTTCGTCGAAAAATAAAAATTGAATCTACATGTCAAACACGAAAAGTGCCGAGCCCCGTGACGTATTCCAACGGATCGAGGATCCTGTTCGGTTGTTTTCGCCACTTGCGAGTCATCCGGTGGTCTTGATAGACAAAAAAATGTGACTAGCGAACAGACTAGCGAGTTCGTGGGAAAACAGCCGGGAACAAGGATCGGGATCATTTATTTTCGTGAAAAGAATGCGTTTCTCGATTTTTGAAATCGCGAAAAATGCAATTTTTCCAGAAAGAAAGAATAGGGGGAGTACTTTTTATTAAATTACTTTGAATCAATTAATTGTGAATTTAAGCGTAATCGCAATTACAAATAATTACAGATAGGTATAGTCGGATTTTTGTATCATCTTCTTCTTTTTTCCCGCATGACTCTTCATTTCTTTCCAATTCAACTTTGATTTTTTTCTCTCTCACTGATTCTTTTTTATTATTCGATGAGTATTTATTATTCGATGAGTTTTATTTTACACTCAGAACAAATTTTAAAGGATATTAGATATTAAAGGGTCAAATTTAAACCAATCGCTTGAGTTAAATAATATTTAATTATTTTTAACTACCGTATATTGATTTTAACAAAAAAACATATGTTTAAAAAAATAACTACAATCAATTTATTTTTGTAAATAAATTATTTAGTTTCAAAATAAGCAATGTTATTATCTAATAAAATAAAAATGTACATAGTAAATTATAAGACTTCAGTCAAATTTAATACATTTTTAATTATTTTATAGTTATTTAACTTTATATTATTTATATATTTTAATTAAATTAATAACATATTTAGTAGAAGCAATGGCGACTTATAGGAATGGTTAAAAATGAGTAAAATTGGATATAATTCGTAATTATGGATTTATCAATGTACATGTGTGTGGTGTGTGTGTGTGTGTGTGTAGTGTGTAGTGACGGTACGAGAAGACGTACGACTAAGTATTACTTCTTCTTATACTAGAACTTTCTTCTTTATTACTTTTTTTATTTTTCTTTCCTTCTCTCTTCAATAACTGATTATAAAATTTAGACCAAACTCCGACTAATCGACGATTAACTTATCAAACAATATCTGCATTATTCTATTAAAAAGAGTAAAATTATTGACTTCATTGCGTTTTTAAAAAGAACCTTTTGGCAAGAAAGATCAGATCTAGAATAGCAAAGCGAGCAATTCCGTTCGTTAATTTAATCTCGTAATTTAGTCAAAATCAGTTTTATTTCAATTTGTGTGGTTTCTAAAAAGAAGATAGAAAGAGAGTAATGAATCCGTTCGATTTTTCTCTTCCTACACAGTAAAAAACATTTTGTATTTGTGTTAAAATCGATCCTTGTTAAAATTTTGGTGTTAAATAATCTACATATTTATATGTAAATTTAACACATGTCTACTATGTTAACTGACCTTAACAGATATAAAATATAAAATTATTAAAATGATTTAAGAAATGTGTTAAAATAACACAATTCGCACGTATTTATTCAATATGTTAAAATTTACACCAAAAAAATACTTTTACTCTATAACAGGAGTGGGGATGACTTGTTATTATTCTTTGTGTGGTTTCGGCACAGTCTTGAATTTTGACGCGTCTCGACATGTTATTTTATCATAAAAATTATGTTAATTGTAACACACAATTAACTTCAAATTAAAATCAAGAGTACATTTCTTTTTTGAAATATTAACATAGTGTCGATGTTACTATTTAACACATCCATGTTAAATTAACACAAAATTTTGAGTGGACCGTTTGGGACATGCGATTTATGTTAAATTCAACACATTTTTTCCAACAGTGTAGGCGTGAAAAGGATACGGAAGTGCGATTAGGTATTCTCGGCAAAACTACGTCAAAAATGGAGAATATGCGAGCGCACTTTCTCAAAGCGTGAAGACGATCGGCCTACCGACCGGGTATGCGAAAAAGAGGGATCCGGATTTATTTATTCCCCAGCCTCCTCCTAACCGCAAATCGCCGACGACCCGTGTTCCGTACGTTACGCGGCTCGACTAGCCGCAGTCAGAAGAGGGAGAGGGAGAGGGAGGGCCTATGTTGTACCGATAAAACTTACATTCGCGCTCTCTCG